TGGTAAATTAAAGTCTAAAACCATGTCAATGTCAAGTCAATTATTTGGGACATTTAATTGTTTCATAGTGAGCAAATGAAATGCTTTAGTTTTTTTTTCATTAATGAATGTTTACATTAGAAACTCAGGGATTGCAACATGTTTTCTACTCATTTTATATTATTTATTTTCATACATTTGTCTAAGTGGGGGTTAAACAAATTGACTCTTGCAGCTGGTAATGAAGATAGACATTTCCTCATAACCTCTGATGGAACTCTGAAAACCCAGAGTGTTTTGAACAGGGAAACTTCAACCTTGTACAGACTCGTTGTCAATATTTCTGATTCTGGTCTAGAGAACATCAGGTGTGTCTCAGTTTGGTAACATTAATTAGTTCTTTCTTTGTTTTTGTAACATTTTGTGCACTGCTCTTAATATTTTGGGTGGAATTAACCCCGTGGGTGGAGTTAAGTTGATTCCCTTTTTTTTAATTGTAATTACAAGAACAGCTGTGTTATAGTAGGAAAACAATTGTTTGAGCATTTGTATATTACCTTTTTTTAATACTTTTTTGCTATATATTTTTGCATTTGACAGAAAGGAATGGATGGAGTTATTTGAAGAAATGTTTGACTTATTTAGAGAAAATTATTTCTGATTTTGATCTGCACAAGGACATGAAGAAACATTTAACAGAAAATTGATGGCCATTAAATGAAGAAATGACTTTGAGATTTGCTTTCCTTTCCAGGTCTGTCACAACAACTGTCACAGTTTCAGTCACAGATGTCAATGATAATGCCCCGACTTGTTCTGACGAAGTCTTATTTTTACAAGCTCCTGAAGACACCACTGTCAATATGCCTGTAAAGGATGCTCTGTTGTTTAACTTAAACATTCATTTTCTGTATAGACTAGCATTATTTAAATAATTTTGTATTTATTTTTTAAAAATTAAATGTAGACCTGTTTGACATATTTTATAGAGAGCAACCAATTCTACTTAAAATAATACATTAGTATAGAATATAATTTTGATAGTCTTGCAGAAATGGGTTGTTTTTTTTCGTAGATTGGCTGTTTTAGAGATTTTATTTGTATACATTTTTATAGTTTCTGCCTCTTTCTCAAGTTTTAAGAAAAAATTCTTTTATATAAAATAGTTAAGCTATTTTTCTGGACAAATATCAAGTACCATTAACTACAAGTTAATAGTTAAAAAATTACCACTAAGGGTACAGGTAATTTACCTAACATTTGATAAAGAATAAACTTAATTAGTTATTAATGGTGCTTTTTTGTTCGAGTATGATAAAAAGTTCAAAATATTGGCTTTTTCAAATTTTTTATTAATGTATTTACATCTTCAGTTACACACATTTAATTGTTCTGATGCTGACAGTGGAGACAAATTGAGATTTGTTGTTAGACCACCACACAATAATATCTTTGGATTTAAGACACCTTCCCAAGATCTAATATTGCTATCTGGTCTGTACATTTATCACATTTTTTTCTATTCTAAAAAGTTTACCATATGCATTAATAAAATTACATTTAGGATATCAAATATGTTTTTTTTTTAAAATATTTTAAAGACATTTTTAAAAAAATTGTAAATATTGAATAATATACATTTAGACCTTTCTTATTTTAAGATTACATTAAATTGCTTAACAATTAATAGATCTCTGTAGCATTATAAAAACTTTTTAAAAATGTATTCACATTGCATACTTCATAAAGTGTAAGTGAAACTTATTGAATTATTGTTGATGAAAATAAACTTCAGTTAAACCAGAAATTATTGAGCAAAGACAAATAAAGTTTATATCATTAGTCATTAACTTATTTGAGCTAGTACACTTATTCATACACTTCAAGACTTTTTCATGATTGTTTTCTTAGCTTTCGACTTTGAATCTAAATTCCAACATTATGACATCGATGTTATCATCAGTGATGGCACTTACATCAATACAGTCAAAGTCAAAATTGCTGTTCTCCCAGTTAATGAAGACACGCCACAGTTTACAACCAATCCTCAAATAATAGTTCCAGAAAACTCACTTTCCAGTAATCTCATTACTTACACAGCTTTAGACACAGATTTCAGTCCTCACAACATTGAATCCTATGAAATTACCTCTGGTAAGAAAAATGTGTAGTGTTTGATTACTCTACAATTAGCTGGGTTCTTTTAAATTGTGAAATAAAATATCCTCTATTTATGGCTACCGGAAGGCTGATCGAAAGAAATTTCTTCGACGGAAAATTGATCAGCAGAAATTTGATCGAACGGAAATTTAGTCAAATCTTTTTTTTTCAGTTCACATGTTAAAATTTTCTTCAAATTTCTTTTTGAACGCACTATATTATATAGTAAAAAAAAAATAATGCATTCAAAAAGAAATTTGAAGAAAAATTTAACGTGAGAATTGAAAGAAAGATTTGACCAAATTTACGTTCGATCAAATTTCCTTTGACGAAATTTCTTTTGATCAAATTTCCAGATACATCTATTTATTTGAATGGATTTGATACCAAGCTGTTGTGCTCATGTTAATTGTGAGTAACATGATGGTTTTAGTTTCATTGGTTGTCCATACATGTGGCCATACATGTTTGATAAATTTTATTTGCTTTTATCTGTGAAATGAAACATGAACAGAATGCATATCAAATAATTATGAAAATGTTAATGTCTCAAATGAAAAGAGATTTTCTTGCAATTTTGTTTTAATCAACTGAAGGCATCTATCATGTTTTATTTTCAGTTTCCAAACAAGGGTCACCCTATTTTGGAATAGACACAAAGTCTGGCAGAATATATCTCTATTCATACTTAGATTTCGATTCTCTCCCCACACTGGACAAATCGTATGAAATTGTTGTTGTTGCACAAGATGGTGGTGGGTTGAAGGTTGGACAACTTTCAATTAATCCTATATTACAGATTGATTTTTTTAACTTAATTTAATCATGCCATAAAAAGACATAGTTTTATAATTACTAAATAAAAACATCATCAGAATTTTACTAAAAGAGTGTACCATTATTTTTGTGTTTTAAAACAGTAGTTATTAAAAATAGATTGTAGAAATTGGTTTAGTAAATAATAGGACTAAGTGTGTAAATATTAGCATCATTAACTTTAATTTAACTTTTAATTTTCATTCAGATTTTCTTAATTAATTACATTTTGTTTGGTATTAACATTTATGCAATTGTACTTTTAAGCCATAGAATATTGATTATTAAGTTGATTAGCATCGAGATTATCATAATAATTAATATCAGATGTCGATACCATTAAACATACAAAATTTGAAATTTTGCTAAAAACTATGATTTTATTTTCCAGGGTACAGGCACTGTTACAGTTTTGGTTAGTAATGTCAATGACAATTCACCAGTCTGCAACCAATCAACTTTTCTAGTTAGGATTCCTCAGAACCAAAGTAGGAATTTTAAAAATACGTTTGTCCAACTTATAACTCTCATTATAAAAGTCTATTTGTTGTAGGCCTCCTTACTTCTCAAAGTGTCAACATTCAGAAACAGATCACTGCAGAGCTAGAGCTATGATGATTTTCAATTTAAGAAGAAAAAAATTATTTAAATAGAATTTAAAATAAAAAGGAATCTGAATTACTTTTACCACTTTTATTATGTTATTTTTTAAATGTCACCATGACATTGGTAAGGATTTCAGAGAAGGTGTGTAATTCTTATTTAACATTTTTTTATTTATCAAACTTAAGATAGTATCCCATGCTCAATATTTACTTCCCTTGGATGTACTGATGCGGAAGATGGATCAGCTTTGGTCTACTCTCTGAATCAAACACAAGAACCCCATTTTAATTGCACTGATGATGCTATACAGCTTTCCAACTGTAAGTCTCTTCTAATATTTTGTAGAGTCTGAAATAATTGCAGTTCTCCATCTAGACACAATCAAATGACTTTCTGATCATCACAGCCCAATATGTTAACCATTTATCCAGGACAGACAAGATTATTATTATAAGCTTTAAAATGTTGTTTTAATTATTCCAGACTCGTTGGACTATGAGATTTCAGAAGCCCACACTCTTTTGGTAGGAGTTGCGGACAAGGGACATCCACCGTTAACATCAACAGTTGTTCTTATTGTAAATGTGATTAATAAAAATAATGGTGGGCCGGTTTTTAAACTTCGGGAAGTTGTGACAATCAATGAAACTGCTAAAGTTGGGCAATTTGTCGCTGGTGAGTTATGAAGTACTCCTAATTTAAAAATGTGTTGATATCTTTTGTTTTAAGGTAAGCATTTGAAATCCTCTTGTTAAATAGGGCATAGGAATAAAATTTAAAAATCTTATCAGTGTCATTATGGATATCCACAACAGTTTTCATGAAATTATACCTGTTCTAATAAGCGCACTCCATTTATAAATAATTTTTACTTAAAATTTGCAGATATTTGATATATTCTTTTGCATTTTGTGTTGTTATGTCTAAGAATAAAGTTATCCCAGCCTCAACAGCGTTACTGAACACTGCAGTTAGGATTAGCATTGATCAATGTCAATATTTCTGTTCACAGATGTGGTGGCCATTGATCCAGATGGGAATGACCCATATTTCGGAGACATCAATTATAAAATAATAGCAGGTGATCCATTCGGCCAGTTCTACATTCATCTTAAGTCAGGTCAAATTACCATCAGAAAGAGGCTTGATTTTGAAATTAATTCATTTTACAATCTTGTTATACAGGTAGATTTCATTTCCTTTCATCCTAAAATAATAGATTAAATTTGTCAAGACTTCCTCAAACTTTCTCTCTTCTAGAAATATTTTTAAAAATTTAATTAGTTTAATAACTATTGTAATCCTCTTAAAATATTATATAATAACTATATTAGTAATTGTTTTTATACAGTTAAAATTAATTTATTTAGGCAAGAGAAAATTTGGGTGCAAACTCAGCAACCGTAACTCAAGTTGTAAACATCAGTGACATAAATGATGAGGCGCCTGTGTGCAGTCCTTATTTAGTTCTGGAAACTGTTGAAGAAAATAAACCAGCAAATTACTTGGCTGCCAACTTGTCATGTTTTGATGCCGATGTCGGAACAAATTTGGCGTATTCAATAACTTATGGTGATACAAGTTTATTTATGGTAATGTTGCCGATTCCTGATCCAATTTTTTAAGTTGTACAAAATAAAACCTAGTAGTAGTAAATACGATGAATATCCAACAAAAACTTTAGTGTAGCCTAATTTAAAATGTGTGTGTTTACTAATGAGCATGCCCTTGTTACCTGTGTTTAGTTAGGTGAGAATAAGCTGATGTTGAAGGCTCCACTTGATTATGAGAAGTCAACCATCCATGACCTTGTGATTCAAGTGTCAGATCTGGATCCCAGCCATAACACAGAAATTTATGTTACTGTTTTAGTTGGAAGTGTGAATGAGGGGCCACCAGTTTTTGATAAAAGTAGGTTTCATGGACTCAGCTGCCCATTTCCTTATTAAATGTTAAAACACACTTCTATTTCCACACAATTCTTCCCATTTAAGTTATGTCACTTAATATTCAACAATAAAAGAAAGTAAAATATATCATTTCTTTTTTTTTTCCTATCAACAGGCATTTATTATGTCAGCATAGAAGAAAATCAACCCATTATAAGTGTAGTCACAACAATCAAAGCTATTGATCCAGATTCTGGCGCAGACCAAAATGGGCTGGTCAGTTATTCTCTCTTAACAAACAGCACTCAGTTTGTTTTGGATGGCAGTAGTGGCCAGGTAGGTAACTTTTATTATGAAGAATTAGGGAAATCTTCTTTACAAAATGTATGTGATAAAGCAGCTTAGACAGAGGTCAAGTCCTGGGGAAAATGTGTTGGAATCCACCCAAGATTTAACACCCACCCCCCTAAATAAATATTTATTTATTTATTAGCAAAATATAAAAAGTTACATGCCTGCAGGATTTGAGCCATGTATATGGATTACATTTTTTTAATATTAAAAACATAATTGCCCATCTATTTGATTTGTAGTTTAAACCTTTTATATGAGTCTCTTGAACATTAGGCTATATTAATTTAACATATCTTGCCAGCTTTTCACAAAAGACATACTGGACAGAGAAAAGATTCAAATGCATTCTCTAATTGTGAGGGCCTCAGATAACCAAGGGTATAACACTGCTAGTGTATTAATATCTGTACTTGATGTCAATGACAACAAGCCCATATTTACACAAGACCTGTACAGGTAAAAACTTGTTTATTCTAAAGATAGTCTAATACTATTAACTTTTAGGTCTAATATACATTTAATTACTTGAAAATCTTTGACATAATGTCAATTTGGGTAAAAGTAAGATTATTTGCAGTCGGGTCAGGTCTCTTAATGTGCTTGGAGCTTATCAAATCAGTCATTGTGCAGCACAGCTAGTGTTTAAAACTTAAACCAATGAAATTAATGTCTTCCCAAGAAATATAGTCTTAAGATGATTTTGTACAAATTTGTCAGAGCCCACATAGTAATGAGCAGGATCCTATCCCTTTTCCTTTTCCAGTGCGTTCATCTCTGAGGGAGATGCCCCTGGAACCACTCTTACCACAATGAGTGCTACAGATGCTGATGACCCAGATACAAAAGGCTTTGGAAGAATTACTTACACATTGTGTATAACTTGTTTTCATGGTTTTATCCTTTAACTATTCAACTAGTTAGCTCAAATGAATGGGGCTATTAGAAAATTTTAAAAGAAGAGAAATTTAGGAAAACTGAGCTTTTCTTTAGTAACTAAAGTTATGGTAATTATGTATGCAATAACTATAATTTATGTATGTATATAGCATGATGTCTAGAAACAGAAACAGCCACCCAAATCGGATGCAATAAGTATTTTACTTATGCAGCCACTCCTCTGTATACTGTGAGTCAGATATTATTTTATGTCAAACTCTTTCAGCTCCCAACAGCCTCTTCCTGATAAACTCAACTACAGGAGTTATTACTAACAGAGGCACTGTAACTCAAGAGGATATGGGACCTTCGCTTTACCTTACGGTGACAGCTACAGGTAGGAATTGATGCCATCTTAATTTAATGATGTTTATGTAAATTCATTTTCATCTTTAGACGATATAGGGCCTACCAATTGGACAGCACTTCACAAAATGTTTTTGGTTTATTGCTTGTAAATTTATTAATTTAACAAGGTCTTCAGAGTTTGAATCGTTCAGTTGACATGACTGAACAAATGATTTGGCTTGATCCTTGGGAAAAACATCTCTTTGAAGCAGTTTTTGTATTTTCTAAAATAAATGTTTTATATTTATTTCAATTATTTTATTCTTTAAGGAGTTTACTTCTGTGAATATTTGATATAAAATATAATTTTAAATTACCTGCTAATTTTTTTTTAAAATATTTGAGCTGTAAATCTTCACATGGACATGACTTTCTATCAAGCTGTAAATCTTCACATGGACTTGACTATCTAATCAAGCTGTAAATCTTCACATGGACTTGGCTTTCTAAATAAAATTTATGAATGATCATAAAATGACTATTTGAAATTATTGATCGACAGACAGTTATGGACAGTCTGGTTCACTTACAAGCACAACTAATGTTGTGATAAATCTAATTACGGTCAACCAGTATGCACCTGTGTTTGACCAATCAACTTACACCATCTTTATCAAAGAGAATCAGCTACCTGTAGGAGGTCTCATCCTTAATGTACGTCTTGAACATTGTATTGATGCGAATACTTTACTAGACCCTTACTAAACCTTACAAATCAAAAAGAGATAATATTTAAGATAAGATGAGTTTAATGATGCAAATAAATATAAATTTATTTCATTACATTGCACATATTGTTTTCAGTCTTGAAAGTATTTGTCTGAGTTTTTGTTGTCTTTGATTTATCTCCGGACAATAGGAAATAAATTGTTTAATCCTTTTCCTTAAATAGACACAGATTTTGTGTTGTTATTTTGTGAGCTATAATGGAGACAGTGGTTTGAAATTGTCAGATATGTTTCAATGTTTTAAAATAACAGAAATGTTGTGGAAACTGTATCATTGAAAATCTCAATAGAAAAAAACAAATTAAAATTGTAGCCAATTGTCATCATATGGAGCATGTAATTCAGAACTGAGTAAAAAAAAATCAGCTTTATTAACAGATATATTAAAATCTTGCTTCAGGTGACTGCTCATGACAATGATACTGGCCTTGATGGAGACATGACATTAAAGATTGTTGGAAATCAAACAAAGTTCTTTCTCACTCAGACCAAAAACATTGGAGAGATCAGACTTGGGGAAAATATGGACTTTGATAATGGAGACACAGGTTTTACATTTCAAGTCAAAGCAACTGGTATATTTAGTATATTATGTTTGTGTTAACCCAATTTTATTATATATTTTCAACTTTGTATCTGTCTGAATTTATTTAGTGTAGTAATTCTAAGTCACTTTGTAACTGTCTGAATTTATTAAGTGGAATAATTCAAAGTCACTTTGTAACTGTCTGAATTTATTGAGTGGAATAATTCAAAGTCGAATGTGTGCAATTCATTCTTATATAATTTATGTCATAAAATAATAATCATGTATATAAAACTTTGACATTTATTTGTAATTATGAAGATATCTATTTTTCAATTTTCATTACTTTAGAATTGTTTCAAAACCAAGTTTTGAATCCAATGATATTTAAATAAGGGATCAAATAATCCAACAACCTGTGCAGTAAAAACATCATTGTGCTTTTATTTTTTAAAAATCAAGATTTTAACATCTATTAATTTTTCATTGCATAGATCATGGTGACACACCTAAATCCAGTTCTTGCCAGATTGAGGTAACAATCTTGAATGAAAATGACAATCCACCAATGTGTCCCTCATTTATACTTGTAAATAAACAAGAAGGGGAAGTAAATATTGCAGCTTTAAATTGCACAGATGCAGACTTTGGCAGTCTTCTCAATTACTCAATATTAAGGTAATTATTATTTATTTTTGCAGTAAGCTTTTTGTTCATTGAACAAAAGGGACACTGAAAGTTCTAAAAGTTGTTAGTTTGTTTCCTATTTTTATGGACCACAGTTGTAGAAATTTCAAGATTAGTATATAGTATTTTTTTTTTTGTCTTTTACAATTAATTTTTTACATTTCCCAAACAGAAAACACATAAAACACTAATTAATAGAGGATTTAAGATTGATTAGCTTGACCTTTCCATGTCATGCTTTACTTTAGTAAATGCCAAATTTTAACATATCAAGCATGCTACAACTGTTACATACATAAAACGGTTGAGTAATAAAGTATTTCTAGATTGACAAGTGTTATCTGCTCTGTTTTTTTTAAAATCTGTTTTATTTCAGCTTAACTTCCATAAACAGACTGAGACAAATCCAACCTATGGTATCTTCTACTGGCATTCTCACTGTCCTTGATCCATTGGACTTTGAAAACTCACCAGATCTTGAAATTTTGGTGAAGGTAACCTAGAAAAAATGGATTACCCTTGACCTCTTTTTCTCTAAAGATCTTATTTAAAGAAGTTTTTAATAAATGATAGAAAAAAACTTTCAAAAATATAAATTGCATCTGATCAAGAAAATTTTGTAAAATTGTTAAAATTTACCTACACACATGTACTTGTATACAGACATTTGGAAAAGAAAAATTCAAATTTTAAAGGAATTATAAAGAAGCATTAAGATTTTCTGTTAATACTGGATTAAATGATGAGCTATTTGATTATTCTTACAAATTAAAGAAAGGCCTTTATTTGTCCTATAATTAGTTGGCTCTGCCACTGATTCTAATTAGCTCAAGGAATAAATTCCATCATTGTTCTTTGGCATCATGGACAAACCCTGCCTCAAAGTGCACACTGAGATTTTGATATTTGGCCTTTTCCAAAACAAAGATTTTTTTTCATGCTATTATTGTTGTTGTAGACAAGCTCATCAAATCCAATGATGATGTCATCAAATGCGTTAGTTCATTTGATTTATTCTCAATATCAACAGCTTGTTAATGTTGTGCTTTTGTTCTATGAAATATATCTGTTGTCACCTGGCACCAGGTGACAGATGATGGTTTACCTACCCAGAGTGCAACAGTGACCGTTTCAGTTCATGTCCTGGACATCAATGAACATAGCCCGACATTTACTGGCAACTTAACATTCACCCTCAGGGAGGATGCACCACTGGATGGTAGAGTTTTGTACCGAGTGCTGGCCACTGGAAATGATGGTCCAGATGACGCACTGACCTTCTGGATCTTGGACACATCCTATTTCTACATTTCACCTGGTGAGATAATTATTGAAATCACCAATTACAGCAATATAATTGACTGCACCATCAAAATTAATGAAAGTAATTTGTTTTAGTTCAATTTTAAAAAATCAAACTAGAGTTTCATGCTTGATAAAACCCATGTAGTCCTTCAGTTTGTATCATGTTCTTTTATACAAATTTCAGGTCTTTAGACAGGACTTTTATTGGCACTTCTTTATGTTTAATTTGTTATTCTGTTCTTTCTAAATCAAATCTACTGAAGCTATACACACTAGAGCATTAGTTCTCAAAGTGAATGGAGCAGAAAGAATTTAAAGAACCACTGCATTAGATGTTCAGATTTTGCTCTAACTTAATACACAAAAAAATTATCATTGCAGTTATTGATAAAAAAGTCTGCTGCTGTATTCACTTTCAGATAAAGGAGAAATAATTTTGGTAATGAAGGCACCTGATTATGAAACTGTTGGAGACATTTACAGGCTTGGAGTTTGTGTCAAAGATAAACCAAACCCTTCTGAACTGACGGCCTGTGGAACCATAATGGTTAAACTGATTGATGTCAATGATGAAAGGTTGGTAAATGTATCAATTAAAAATGTATCTCAAACAAGAGTTGACAAAATAGGATATTGAAATATTTCGCATTTTTTCAATGACATGTAAAGGGATGTAAGATCTGATAGTGGATTGTTCCATTTTTAAAAAAATGTATCAAATTTCTTGTTTTCAGACCCACCTTCAGTTCTACAATTTCTATATTAGCACTAGGAGAAGATGCCGCCATTGGTACAAGAATAACTGGGGACAGTGCAGTGGACAAAGACAAATCTTCTGTTTACAATTCTATTTTATACTCTATTCAACTTGGCAATACAGAGGACTGTTTTAGGTGAGTAAATGTTTTACAATAAATTATTAAATTAGGTCTGTGTATAAACAGTGAAAGAGAGATCATTTTCTTCTTTTAAACAGGTTTAAGTTTCATTGCTCTTAACCTCAGAGAGAATTCAAAACTGCTTGGACTGTTTCATGATTGAAATATAAAAGACTATAGCCTCCAGGATGGGAATACTGTCTCAATACTTTACGATTTAAAATGATTTAACCTCTAGTAAAGCTTTGATTTCATTACTGCAATAATTTAATTATTTTTCTATGTCAATTTGTTACAGTTGGATCAACTGCCAACCAAATTTATTGGCAAATAAGATGATTTAAAAGAAGAAAATCTTAAAGAGATAATAAGTCACAATATTCCAATGTTTCTGTTAAATTTAACCTGGCTTAATTTCTATGTAGACAATACATATGGTTAAAATGTGGTCCACAATTTTTAAAATTTGAATTCCCCAATGGTTTTTTAAAAGAAATTGTTTTATCTTGTATTCGAAACTTATAGAATTCTGCCCAATGGAGATTTAGAGGTAACCAAAAGTTTGGATTATGAAAGAACTCAAAGCTATAGTTTAACTATCCAAACCTCTGATGGATTTTATAATGCAACAGTCATCTACAATGTTCAGATAACTTCAGTTAATGAGTTTGTACCAACTTTCTCAAACTCTTCAGTAACTCTTAGTATTCCAGAGAATTCCAGGCCTGGAAATCCTGTGTATCTAGTAAGTCTGACCATGGTTTGATTTTTTTCCTTGCATTTCTTTTTACTCTTTTATTATGAGGACAATTTAATCATTTTGAAACTGTTTACCACATATTTAAATTGTATCAGAATTATTAAATAACTGTCAAGCCATCTATTAAAAAATAATTCAAAAGTACATGTCAGATATTACTATATTGACACTATAAATTAAGAGTATTCTGTCCTTATATCCAGGCTGAGGCTACAGACTTTGATCTTGGTGATGATGGCGTTATGAAATATTCCATTGAAACTGGTATTTTAATTTGTATTGTTGTGTTTATGAATAATCTTAGGTCAGCTCATGGTTCATTATTGAAGTCAACTCACTGTTTCATATGTAAATTTTCCATTAAACACGTTACATATTGTGAAATAAGTTAGCAAAAGTTTGTAGCTATTTATGATAGTATTATTTTTTTTAAACATGTGTAGTAGTGCGGGTGGGGTTTGGGGTTGACTTAGGTGACAACGCCAAAACACTGGTAGTGTAAATTGACCCTGCTCGCAGCGCCAACAACTGTAGCCGAGTGGTGACGTAGCTTACAGTTTTTAAATAAAATCAAAATGGAACAATCAGGTCTTGAGGACTATAGCTTTTTAATTAATTCCCTACTATGATGAAAACAAGAAAGAGGACACTATGAACTATGGAGAAGAAGCCTATGAAGAAAAAGGGGAAAAAAAAAGAGAAAGAAAAAGGGAAAGAAAAAGGACAATATCTGAAAATAAACAAATAGTACAGGTTAACAATGTCCTGACTAACAAAGCTAATAATAAACATATTACATAACCACGTAATTACACGTGGCGACAACATATACTTAACTAGAAAGCATGATAAATGATACGTAAGTAGTATTGGTTCATACACATGGCAAAGATAATTATCTTGTACTACGAATGTTTTAACTATAAAAGAAACCACGTGCAGTGTTTAATTTGAAACACGTGCACAGTGTTAATGCTACACACAGAACCAGAGTGCGATGTGAGGGCTAACATAAACTCTAAAGATCTTGAAGTTATAATAGTATGCCATCCAGGTATGGTGTCTATGTAAGAGGCACACATAGCGGGACAGTAAATACAACGGTATTAAGTATGACTACCGTTGGCTTGATACTTGTATCTGTCCATCGCTGTGTCTTGTTAAGACAACAGCAGATTGCAGAATGAATCATAGTTAAATTATATGGGATGTGATCCTCACATGCACTATTTCCTATGTGAGAATTTAGCACAAGGCAGGAAAGTTAGCCTATTACACATATTTGACGGACACTCGCTGGTTGTATACTGTTGTATCAATAGCTTATTTTATAAGCGCATTGCAGTATGTGCACCCAGAACGATATGCAGTTGTTTGTTACGCACAAACCCTGGTCACTGGTATCTATTTATTAATCCTATTACATAATTTATTTAACGGTTGTATGTTAACCTTTAAAATAGCATGAGCATAAGTCTACACGCTGTAGGTTATCCTACACTCTATCCTGGTTATAAGTCTGAACAGAAATCTTCCAATGCTAACACTCAACAAGTTCCTACTAACCACAAAGAAATAAAAATGGCGTAATTGCCTCTACTTACAGAGCGTTCCAATGGGCCGCACTGAACAAAGGCACAATGCAGGTATGCTGACCAAAGCTCGAAATGACCCCTACCTCGTGTGCTCCCCTTTTTAAAACCGTGCGCGGACATATCAGAGAGCCCCTACGTCACACCTAAACCGAGTCGGTCTAAGTTTTGCCTTCTGGCCAGTTTCCTGGGGTAAAATGCCTAACTCTGGGGACTAATCCAGAGTAATAATTAAAATCTTTATCCACATCCCTAACGACTTATATGTAATCTGTGCAGTTTTGTCTTAGCTATCTAAGATGCTATTTTATATTTTTATGACTTAAATAGTTTTTAAGATATTTTAACTAGAAGGGGATGGGGACCACTATAAATGAAGGCGAAAACACCTTTAATGACTAAATATTAAAATATCCTCCAACGATGGAAACTAGTAAATATGCTAAGGTATAGTGAATAAAATCCCCGTCTTAACTAGATTTAATGTATAACTTAATACGCTAGGGTTCCTGATAAATAAATTATTGAATTTCTAACCAATGCGCACATCGTGGTATTTTATTATTTCCTCCCTATGCGCCGGTCGTATAGTGACCGTCCGGGGGGAGGGGGGGGGAAGGTGAAAAGGGATACCTGTTACGCACCGCGCCAGTGCTACTACACACCGCGCGACCTTGAGTTGGGCGCCAGACATGGTTTACGTAACGGGTCAAATAGTGGGTTGGGGCATACACTGCCACACATGTATATTATATAATTATCTCTATATTTTCCTACCATTTTTTCACCTTTGACAGGTCTTTTCAGTATTAATCCCATGTCAGGGGCTGTAACTGTGGCGGGAAATCTTGACAGAGAGACTACTCCTTCATACACAGTCATGGTTCTGGCAGTGGATATGGGAACACCTCCTAGAACTGGGTCACAATCTCTTACAAGTAGGATGATAAAATAATGTATTCAATTGTACAAAATATGACTCTCTATAGAGATCAATAATGTCTCTAAATTACAATGATTCCCATTTATATATAGAAACTATTGATTTTCATTGAGAAGAACAAGACATAAGTCAAGATCCCTTTATTTTTGTATGGTTTGAAGCAGTAACACATCATTTTTATTTTAGTTGATGTCACAGACATGAATGATAATGTACCAACATGCAGCTCTAATCCATACTTTGTTTCCGTGCCTGAAAACATCTCTTCTGGTGAAATTGTCACAAAATTGATTTGTCATGATGACGATGATGACCCTGACAATCTCAACAACAAATTATCCTATAATATTGGTAATTTACTTTTTTTAAATTTTAAATTATTACTTAACCAATGCGATGATCATGATTAATCACACCATATATCTGTCTGTCAGTTCACTAAACACCAACTCAAACTTAACATCTTGTGAAAAAAGACAATTTGAAACATCTTCAATACTGTCACTTGATAAAATGAACTTTTCTTTATTTAGTCATACAAAAGTTTTTAGTTTAGTAAAATTTAATTTTTTTTTTTTTTTTCAGGATTTAAAATTGATTTTTTTTTTTTTGTTTTTTTTTTTTAACCACATAATAATTCACACAGATAATGTCAAGAGTTTAATAAAAAAAAACTTGGTCTTTTTAAAATCATTAATTAGTTTAAACTAAGTAAATCTAAAATCTGCTTGTTTTTACAAAAGTTTTTATTTTAGTAAAATTTAATTTTTTTTTTTTTTTTCAGGATTTAAAATTGATTTTTTTTTTTTAGTTGTTTTTTTTCAACCACATAATAAGTCACACAGATAATGTCAAGAGTTTAATAAAAAAGAACTTGGTCTTTTTAAAATCATTAATTAGTTTAAACTAAGTAAATCTAAAATCTGCTTGTTTTCAACCAGTTTCTACCAACACAAGTGAATTCAGAATCAATGAGTCAGGGGAGATAACTGTGATTGGATCCCTTGATTATGAGGGTCAAGACTTGTACACTGTCGTTGTTCAAATTTCTGATCAGTCGCCAGTATTACAATTAACTACATCTGTGACTGTTAGCCTCACAGTGCTTGGTGAGAGATATTCTTCTGCTACCATTTGTCCAGGGATTAGATGATAGCAAACCTTAATACATTCATTGACTTCAAGGAGCCATGTTGAACTTTTGTTATAAAATTACTTTAAAATTTAACTTTTATAAAAAAAATTGTTTTATTTGATTTATATTAATGAATATCTGTACATCTTTCATCCGTGCTAAAACCAAAATTTCAGATGTTAATGACAACACTCCACATTTCACTTACCTGGCTTCAACATCAGTTCCTGAAGACTTGCCAGTTGGCACCAAAGTGATCATGGTCAGAGCTTCAGATGAGGATTCTGGAGTCAATAGTAATTTCTGTTTGATTTAAATAAGTTCACAGGATGTGATTTAAATAAGTTCACAGGATGACCTGACTGGTCTGAAATCTATGCCTGGCATGCAGTGGCATAGCGAGGGTGTTTGGCGCCCGGGGACAAGATTCGCGCCCGGGGACAAGATCCATTTTTAGCGCCCCTTTTTCTTTTTTTCAACTCTCAAACCCATTATTTTCATCAATAAAATGTTATCAAAGCACATTTTGGCGCCCCTAAATAGCTTGGGCCCGGGAACAACTGTCCCCCCTGCCCCCACCACGCTACGCCTCTGCTGGCATGCATTTTGTAGTAGATGCAAAACACAGGAATCTGAAATAATATTAATTTCCCAAATTGAAACTGACTTCTAAATTTTAAGATTTATGTTTACAACATTTAAAAGGTAGCATTTTAATTATCATATTGAATGACATCTGTAATAGGTTATCCACCTCTCTGCTTTTCTTGCTACCTTCAAATGTTGCTGTCTAAATTACAGAAGAACTATTGTATCAGATAAATGGAGCCACAGCCAGCGGTAAATTCAGCATTGAACCAGTTCATGGAAATATTGTTTTAGAAAAATCTTTGGATTATGAAATGCAAAAGTTTCATCAGATTGTTGTTACTGTCAGGGTAGGTTTACTAAAAAAAAAAAAAGAAGAATTTTAAATAATGTCATTGCAACAATAATTGTCTTTAAAGGAAATCAGAAAATGAAATGAATTACGCCGTTTTAAAATAATTAAAGATATTTGTTCACCTGAAATGATTTTAGTAGGACATCACTCTCCTCACTGTAACACATGGTTGGGTTTCCGCATTTTTTCTTCTTCCCCTTGCCACAGTCTTAAAAAAATGTGCTTATTAATTATATAATTAGGATAATGGGGTACCTCCCAGATCTGTCACTGGAACTGTGACAGTAACTGTGACTGACGTCAATGACAGCCCACCTGTCTGCAATGCTTCAGTAGTGACGGTGAGGCTGCCTGAGAATTCTCTCCAAATGTTAGTGGCCAGTGTTTCATGTACAGATGCTGACAGTACAGATACTGTCACATACAACATCACTGAAGGTAGGATACATCTTTAGCCATTGCTAGTCTAAAAATCCCTGGTGTTAGGAATACTTAATCAGATGTATAAAATGATTGAAAGCGAAAAAAAAAAGCTTTATAATTGTTTCTTACCGAAGACTTTTACTATGACTATTAAATTTCTATAACTAAATTGATGGTTCTTTACTGTGTGATGTTATACTTGATGTTTATACCACAGGAAATGATAACAGTTTTGTTATTGATTCCAACACTGGAGTTATAACTTTAGCACAGCCGGCCAGTCTTGACTTTGAAACTACTCCACTGTACATGTTGAGAGTTTCAGCTTCTGATGGCATCCACATTCAAGATGTCTTTGTTAAGGTAATATACATGACCTCCAGACAACAGATTAAAATCTTTGTTAAGGTAATATTTTGCTACCCCAGATGACAAATTCAAGCCTTTGTTAAGGTAATATTTTGTTGTCCCAGACAACAAATTTGTTAAATTTGCTACTTGTTGTTGTAGAGATAAATTTTAATGTTAATTATTTTCTTCAATACATCCAATAAAATCATGTCAATATTAAGGTCAAACAAAAACAACTTTAAACAGAAAAATTCCAAACATTTAAATCACTTTCAATTCCTCACTTGAATAATTCTCATCACTGAGAATTTTGGAAGTTTATTGTTTATGTGCAATATAGTATTTTCATCACTATGATAAATTATTAATTGTGCTCTTTGTTAAAGACAGATTCATTTTCAAGGGACTTTATTGTTTTCACAATCAGGTGATTGTAACAGATGTAAATGAGTACAGGCCAGATTTTAATCCAAATGGTCCCATATCAAAGATGGTAACAGAAGATCTGAGTATCCATGAAATAATTTATGAATTCAATGCTACTGACAGGGATACCAGTGACACAGTGAAAATTTACACTATTCTAAATGGCAACTCAGAAAATATGTTTCTACTTGATTCAGCATCTGGTAAACTTTCAGTAAGAAAAATTTTCATTTGAATGGTCATATTTTTTAATGATAATTATTATTTTTAAAAATTTCTTTGAAATAAAATTTATTATTTATTATTTACAATCAATGAATTTTATTTATATACATAAATTGTATTCTAAAAAAGCAACTTTCTTTAGATTATTGTATCACTGTTCTTTCGGTCAACACTGACTTACTATTCTTGGTACTTCAAAGATAGCCGAGTTAAATTTTTTTTTCACCTTCTCGAACAAGTTTCTACCTTTATAAAAATGAAATGATTTCAAAAAGATTGTTAATTTTGAGGCTGAGCCATTGCATGGGGCCCAATGTTGGGATGTGGATAAAAATCAACCATCAACATTGAATGCAGGGGGCACAAAATAAAAAATTGGCAAGGGAGCCTAGATACATGACGGTTCTATATTTAGATATAATGTCATTAATGGTCTAGCACATATTTTTTATTTCACGTTTTAGTAAATCATTTAAAACTATAAATTCAACAGGTAGAATCGCCATTTCGCTTTGAAGATAAATCAGCATATTACCTAACTATTCAAGTGGCAGACTCTGGAAATTTAACAGCTGAACAAAATTTGACCATATTTGTAAAGGATACAAATAATAACGACCCATCATGCACTAGTAAATATGTGAGGCTGTCAGTGAGAGAAGGAGTTAGCAATAAAACCTTGTATACTCCATCTTGTTCTGATAAGGTGAGGTAAATCTGGATACCTATTCCAATACATAATAACTTACTCAATTAAAGGTCGGCATTAATAGTAAAATTAGTTAAATTACACTGATCTGTAAAAACTTTAAATAAACTTGTTGGTAATTTTTTTTATTTATCCAAAAAGGATAAGGTAGCCAGTCCTTTTCTAGAGTATTATTTAAAGGAGCCATCCTGGCAACTGGACATTAATAAAACTACAGGTAAGATAAATTTTAACATTTTTATTTTATTGAGCAAGGAAATTGCAAAAAGTTTTTAAGATCTCTTCACTTGAAAAAAATCTGTTAAATTTTGACAACATTTATAAATATTGTAACTGTAACCAAATATATATATATATCAGGATTAGTAAAGTATCTTTCAAACTTTGAGAGACTAAAATGTGATTCCATGCTAAGATTTAATTTGTTTATAACAAAAGATTCCTCTGGTTGAGGATGTGTTGAATAACATAAAAATTGAAAATGCCAGTCAATGTTATCAAGGACTTGTTAAAAATTTTCAAACTTTTATTTTATTTTCTACAAGGAGAAATTGGTCTTCGTGAACCTTTTGATTATGAAAATGCATCTAGACTGGACTTTCAACTGATTGTTCAAGAATCTCCTGTACCTAACCCAAGGTCTACAGTGCTAATGATTTCCATACACGTGGAACCAGTCAATGAACATAGTCCAGTCTTTCAGCCAAGTTCAACATATGGCTCTTACAATATTTCAGAAGATGCTCCCACCGGCAAGTTACACATTCCTAAACATTTTTTTTTTTTTAAATTTGAAATGTTGCTGATTTCAATTTTAAATCCCACCTCCAAGAGAATCACAAAACTATATTTTAAAAAAGAGAATTTCATATCTTAACTCAATATCTAAATCTGAACTAAGAACTTTCGATACAAAGTAACCCAGGATAACAGTAAGAATAACATTGATGTAAACATATTAGTTATCCCTCCCTGCAGGCACATTAATCACTCAGGTGTTGGCTACTGATGTTGACAAAGGCCTCAGGCAAGGGCTTGTCAGATATTACATTATTGGAGGTGACCCTCTTCTACAGTTTGATGTTGATGAACTCTCAGGGGCCATAACTTTGATTCAAAGTTTAGATTATGAAACAAAGACAAATTACTCCCTTACAATGAGAGCTGAAGATGATACTCCTGGATCTAATACTTCCAAAAGTGGTAAGGGCTAGTAGGTAGAGAATTATTAAAATATTCATGTATCAGCATTTTTATAACCTTAACCTCATCCTCACGTCCCTTAGTCCTTGGACACAGATGACATGTGAACCATCCTCCTCCATTCCTCTCTGTCTTCAGCACTATGCACTGCATTGCCCAGTGTTATTCCTGTCCACTCTTTGATGTTATCCTCCCATCTTTTTCTTTGTCTTCCTCTTCTTCTCCCTCCTCTTGTGGTGCCCTGCAATATTTCTTTGGCAAGCCCTTGTTTCCTTGTTACATGGCCGTACCATTGTAGTTTGCGTTTTTTCACAGTCACCAGTAGGTCATCGTACTCCCGAATTGCCTGACGAACCCTTTCTTTCACTGTATCATTGGAGATATGGTCCCTATAGCAGATGCCAAAAATGCTTCTGAAGCATCTCATCTCTATTGCCTTTATTTTCCTTTCAAGATCGGCTGTTAATGTCCAGAATTCGCAGATATACAGGAAAATGGAGAGGACTACTGAGTGCATCAGCCTGATTTTGGTGCTGGTGACTATATTTTTGTCATTCCATATTTTCTTGAGCTTCTTTAGTGCTGTTGTATTCTACGCAATCCTGGACATCAGTTCGAGCTTGGAGCCTTCTTCTGAGATTATTGTTCCTAGGTATTTGAAGCGGCCGATAGTCTCTAATCTTTTCTCCCCGACCATAATTTCAGTGATGCCTGCGGTATTATTTGTCATCAGTTTTGTCGAGACGCTTTACCAGGTTGGCTAGCTCTTCTTCGTTCCCAACCAGTCCGTCTATGTCATCAGCAAAGCGTAGGTTGGTGATTGTTCTGCCACCAATGCTGACTGTCCCTTCATGCGCTTCCAGAGCATCAGACACAATTCTCTCTAGGAAGATGTTGAATAGGGTGGGGGAGAGCAGGCAGCCTTGTCGTACTCCAGCCGTGGTCTTGAACCATTCTCTGAAGTTTTTGTTGAGGAAGACTGCCCTGGTGGCCTTATCATGTTGGTTAGGTTTGTGTTGATGTTTATAACCTTGTTATGTTGTAAATTCTAATTCTGTATCAGATAAATGGAGCCAGAAATTGATTTTCATATAGTAAATTTGCATTTATTCCTTTCAGTTACAAATGCCACACTCAATTTTTAATGTTTTATATTTAGCTACTGCCACTGTGAGAATCACTGTAGTGGATGTCAATGATCACATTCCTACTTTGGTTCCTGTCCTGTATCAAATTGAGCTTCCAGAATCATTTAGCCACCAGCCAGCAAGGATTGTGAGACGGCTGGTTGTGGTGGATGCTGATGATGGGTTGAATGGTGTCGTTAACATCACCATTTCTGCTGGTAACACAAGAAACAAATTTGATATATCAGGTTGGTTGTTCCTTGCTACCAATATAGAATTTTCAGCCTTCTTCCTTTGTTACTTGTTTTTCAAAATTTATTACAAGTGACACGGCTTAAGTAATTTTTTATTATTAATTTTTTTTTTACATTTACTGACAAAAATGGCAGCACGAAAAATAATGAATAATTTACAATCTCTATTACAAAAGTTGATTTTTTTAGAGTGAATAAATGCAGATTTTCATTAATTTTTATTTAGTTTTTAATTTTATTTGTTTGACAAAATATATTGATTTGATTTAGTTGTTTTCTTTTTCTCAGAAAGCAAACTGGCATGCTCATAAAATAAATAATTAAACACTACACGTGTACAGTATAGATTAAATATAAATATTTGGTTTATTGTACCAGGAGCCAACTTGATGTTGTTGGACCAGCTGGACTATGAGGATACAACTTCTTATGAACTGATCCTGGACATAAAAGATAGTGGGTCCCCTCCTCTGGAATCGTCAGGTCGTATTGTCATACGAGTTCTACCAATCAATGAACAAGCACCGCTCATGAACAAATCCAGTGATTCTCTTACTTTACCAGAGGACACGTATGCGGGAACATTAGTTTACAAGGTCCAGGCTACAGGTTAAGATTAAATGGCTTGCTATTTCCATTGTAATTAGCTCTAAAGCAAGGGTCCTCAAACTGTTTAATCAGTAGGCTGGTTCACTGTCTCTCAGGCCCTGTGCACATTGGACATTTCTTATTTGTGGTGCAAAAAAACCAAAAAAACATACAAGATTTAAAATGAAGTATAATTTCAATCAACATAAAATTATTATTATTTCAATGGGACTTGTTGGCCTGCTTATGGCTCATGAGATGGTCAATGTCCAGTTCCATATTTGTTACTGCTACCCAGGTATACTTGTGGTGGTGAGGTAGGCTGGATATCAGATCACTAGTTCGGCCAAATCTTGCCCACATGCCGTAGTTTGAGGAACCCTGCTCTGAAGACCAGAAATCAACTACCAGTAGTTCTTAAAATGTGTTTTAATTATGGAAATCAAAGAATGAAATGTTTAACTGTTGCATGTTCTGATTTGATTTTATACATTAATTTAATAGAAGTTGTCTTTGTCACTTTAATTCAGAGATAATTTTCTTTCATTAAATTACAAAGACTCTGACAGAGGCCGTGATGGGGAGATAACCTTCACTATGGCAAACAACTCTTCCGGTTCATTTATTCTGGACCCTGCATCAGGAGAACTGTTTGTGGCTACCGAACTGGACTATGACGTGGCTCCCAACACCATGACCATCACCATTAAGGCAACAGATGGAGGTGGTCTATCTGATGCTAAGACATCTGTGTTGTCACTGACCATCAGACTGCAGGACACCAATGATAACCCACCACTGTTTGCTTCTAGCTTGTACAAAATGGCTGTGGATGAAAATGTTCCCTTGGGTACTATCATCGGCTCAGTGAAGGCAGTAGACAAAGGTAATTTTATTCTCAACAAAATATTTATAGTTTAATTATTTTCAATAATACATTTTTTAGAACCCTTAATTTTACAAATGAACTGCTCAGAAATATAATTTGGATGAAAACAATATGGTGACAAAGCTTATTAAATATACTAATCATAAGGAAAATTTTATAAAAGGATGATTTGAAAATACTTTAGTGTTATTGTGAAGGGATTGAACAAAACCCTGGCTTGTCATGGTTAGGTGTTTTAAGAATTGTATATTTTATCTTTTTGTTGACTCTCACAGATTCAGGTATTTTTGGCCAAGTTTACTACAGGATATTAGGAAATGCTGGACAGAAACTTTTTGATTTAGATAACACAACAGGTGTTATTAAGACTGCAGATTCAATTGATTATGAAAATTTTAAGGTAAAAAGAATCAATTATTGATCTGTTGTGTAAATTAAAATTTATATTAACCCTAAAAAAATTATTTAATTAAAAATAATTCAATAAAGATTTTCTCACAGCTGGCCACATTCTTTTTATTTTATGAATCTGAAGGATATAGTTGAATGCAAAATTATTTTATATGCAGGCACATGAAGTTAAAAGTTTATGTTAAACACATAACTGTAAACAAAATCAAGGAATCTGTATGATGCTCCTTACAAAAATAAAAATGTATCATGTGACCATTCAAGCTTTTTGTTCCATATACCAACACACCTATAAAAGAACTGTTTACTGAAATGTCCTCTCTTAGTCTAAATAATTTGTATTTTATAATCAGTAACTTGATGCTTTATAATATTAATAAAAACAATTGTAGTGTCAAGGAGATCTGGTAGTTGGCTTGCATCAATGACACTTGACTTTGTACTTTAAAATCTCCTATGAAATTATTTGACAATTTATTCAGTTAGTTAAAATGTATATTTTAAAGAAACATAAAATTTAGTTTATTGTCTTCTTTGCCAAAATAAAAATGTTGCTATTTCTTGCCTGAAACGTTAATACCCACCCATCTATAGGAATATTACTTGTTTGTCACCGCCTATGATGGTGGAAGGCCAGCTCTCACCTCTGACACTTTGGTCAAAGTCCAAGTTTTAAACAAAAATGACAATGACCCAGTTATAAGTCCTTCAGATTTGGTCATCACAATTTCTGAATTAACTCCTTCTGGAGCTACAATATTAACTTACCTGGCTTCTGATAAAGACACAAATATCACTGGATTTTATTTGGTAGAGACAACTCAGAACTTTGAGGTAAGAATCTTTGGGATAATAATTGTTGAGAACTATTGGTCGTCTGCTAGAAATTGCTGAGGATAAAAAGCAAGAAAGATATTTCATGTTTAAAGGAGAAGATATTTAAATAGTGACTTGCACATTTGTCCATTCTATGTTGGAATTTTTTTTTTTAATTAAGCTTTGCTACATATTTTTAAATTTGCTGCTTATTTAGCTCACTAAAGGCTAAGTGATTTTGCATTTATTTTTGCTTAGGTTGTTGCAAGTACAGGGGAGGTAAAAACGTTGACATCTCTTGACAGAGAAATTGTTAAAGAGTGAGTTTTTCAATAGGTGATTTCAAAACCAACTAATTTGAGTTGTCTGCCCTTAATTAATTTTTATTGATGTGGGTGTTCAACAAGACTTTTGCTTTTACACTGTTGGTTGTCATTGTGGCATTATTTCATCATTGGACAATTCAATAGCGGATGATAGTATCTTGAGCCAGGATAAAGCTCTTGCAACCTTGTTGTAGGAGCTATTTAGTACTATTATTTTGTCCAATAAATAAGTTAATTGTTAGACATTTGCTTTTTATAGTTTCAGTTCTTCAGATTAATTAGTCTAGGATTACAGACATTTATTTTGACTGGTCTGCCTCACAGGTTTGTGCTCCACATCAAAGTCCTAGACCAGGCAACAACAAGTGACACAACCACTCGCACATCCACTGCCACACTGACAATCTTCCTTGATGACAGTAACGACAACAGTCCTGTCATCTACGGCACCTACAACAAGTCTGTACCAGAAAACATTCACATCAACGAGCTGATTTTCACCATCACGGCCACAGATGCAGATGAGCCTGACAACACCAGCCTTATCTTTAGCATTGTGGGTGGCAATACAGAAAATGCTTTTTACATTGATTCAAATGGTCACCTGCAGGTAATTTAACTGCGAGAAATTTTTTAATAATGATACATATATTAAGAGTAATAAAAATACATATTTGCGGTGTAGAAATTATGAAATTCACAAAATTTTATGAAGTTTCTAAAGTCTTAAGAAATAGTGATACATTTATATTTTGTTTAGCTTTCATTAGATATCTAGGACCTGAGATATTTCAAAAACAGATTTATTTTATTGCAGTTATTGTCCTTTATTTTTAGTTTATTTTCCCAAACCTATGACAGGTAAGAAAAGCTCTTGACCGAGAGTCTGTGGCACATTACAACTTAAAAATACGAGTTACCGATCATGGAATTCCTGCTAGAAGCTCTGAAACAAAGGCTGTCATCTATGTCGCTGATGTCAATGATAACACACCAGTGTTTCAGATGACATATTACGCATTCCATGTCCCTGAGAATTCATTTGTTGGGACAGAAGTTGGTGCAGTCATTGCTAGTGATACTGATGAAGGGCCCAATGCTGAACTTACATACACTTTTGATTCTTTCTCTTCGGGTCAGATGTCCCACTTTATCATTGACCCAGACTCTGGAGCCATTACTGTGGCTTCCAGTGATCTTGACAGAGAGAAATTATCTTCATACAAGGCAAAGATTAAGGTAGATTTTCAACTCTCAAGTCAATGTTAAAAGTGTTCACATTGATTTATGAAGCACATAAAAAAGAAGAATGCAGTTTTATAATAAAGAAAACATTGTTGGGTTATTTTCATATTGTTAATTTTCTAGATTGTGCTAAAATGCTAGTTATATATGGGTGTCATTTTTAATTTTCTAGTTGGTTTGATTTCAGGGAAATTTTTTGTGACCCACAACATGGTCAGACAGATTTTAACTTTTGTCAATGAAGATATTTTAGATTACTCCATCCTGCCAGAAAGATTAGCAGTTAAATTTATGCTGCTTTTTGACACACACTTTTATTTTTAGAAAAACTTTACCTTGCAGCATTGTATTTTATCTAATGTGATGACTTAAAGGGCAGTAAAAACAATAAATCATATATATTTTTAAAAAATCTTTTGCCAAAGTACAAGGAATTTTTTTTCCTGAAAGTGTTATGTACTAACAATATGTCCTCCATGATTTCACCTACAATAACATGTGACTACTTCAGTTTTTTTTTTTTTTTAAATCATCAGTTTCCTGAATATTTCAGGTATCTGACGCCGGTCAGCCCTTTTATAAGTCATCCTTAGTAGAAGCGGTCATTAATATTGATGATGTTAATGACAACTACCCTGTCTTTACGAGAGCTAACTATACAATAGCAATGGAGGAGAAGACAGAAATAGATACAACCCTTCTTGTTGTTGTGGCCTCAGACATGGATAGTGATAAGAATGCAGATGTTAGCTATATCATGGATCCAGGAATGATGGATGGCTCTGTGGCTAAAATATATTTTCAAGTGAGCCAGGGCATGTGTTTAGATTTTCTTAATTTAAGTATTCTTTCTGCTCTGATGAAATATGGAAGCGTGGAGATTGAATGAACGTGGAGATTATTGATTTTCAGATTTGACCTTTAAAAATGTTGTCAATCCTTTGAGTATATTTTTAAAAACTGTTTGAAAAAGTAAAGATGCTTCTTCTAATATTTTGTAAAGTGCTCTTATAAAGTTACTTACATATTTATCACTGTCTAGGTGAACACCAGCTCTGGAGTTGTTAGCACCAAAAATATTGTCACCTACGAAAACTACCAAAGCTTCATTTTTTTTATTTATGCAGTAGACCATGGACTGCCTCCACTGACAGGAACTACAACTCTGACCATAAAAATTCTAGACATAAATGATAACTATCCAGTTTTCAGGTGGTTATGTCCCTTTAACATACCTCTTTATCTGTTAATATAATAACATTAACTGTTGACAAATGTAAATATCTTGGTAAATTTTTTTAAAACACTGAAAAATTTAGATTTTCCTTTAAATTAACTTTAAACTTACCGTATTTTCCGGCGTATAAGACGACTGGGCGCATAAGACGACCCCCTACTTTTCCTGTTAAAATCTAGGGTATGGGCTGAATACCAGCTCATAAGACGACCCCCGGCGCATAAGACGACCCCCGACTTTTGAAAAGATTTTAATGGGTTAAAAAGTCATCTTATACGACGGAAAATACAGTAATATCTCCATGAAACTTTTATTTAGTCTTAACTGAAAACCCATAAAAAAATTAAAATATTTTGAAAAGCTATTTTTAGGTTCTAATGTGTTTGAGTTAGTTTATGCTGCTACATTTCTTATCTAAAAGTTATTGCATAAAAATTATTTTACAAATTGACTGGTATTATATATGTTTTTTTTTAAATTTCTTAAAATGTAGCCCGACATTTTATAACTCAGAAATGGCATACAACAGCCAGTGTGAAAAGATCATCACTCAGGTTACAGCCACAGATGAAGACTTTGGCCAAAACGCCGCCGTTTCTTACTTTTTACAGGATGAAACTTCCCAGTTTTTGTTCCAAGTAGATTTACTGACTGGTGAGTGTTACATTGGGTGAACAAATGTAAAGCCTGGTACCTAAAGGGTAGCCCTGTCCCATTTGGGCAACATCTTGCTGCAGAAGATCACTTCTAGTTTTTAAACATCTAGGTATTAGGTTAATGCAAAGTTAACTGCTATTTTGTTTGATCCAACCAGGAGAATTAGGTCCAGTAAATATCGCCCCCCAGCATGCCAGGTTTGTACTTGGTGTCCTGGCCAGAGATGCCGGGACACCCATTAGGTCATCCAAAGTGCCAGCAACTGTCAGAGTGGACACTTTCAACCCTGATTTATATGTTATCACTTTCAGGCTGGCCATTAGCAGGTAAAATGAGCTCTGTAAAATTGTATGAAAAGCAATTTAAGTTAGCTAGAGTAATATAATATAATCTTATTTCTGGTTTTTAATTAGATTCAATGAGTCAAAAGAAATGAAAACTTAATTTTTTTTAAACTTTGATGTGACATTTTCACTGTAACTGGAACCATCAGTCTGTTGATTTAAAGAATGGGTTGATATTAATTTTATAATTAAAAAATGTGTCACATTGACAAATATATCAAGGTATATTATAGCCTAATATAATTAATATGTATTTTTAAGCTCATGACTATTCATACTTCATTAACCTAAAATATTATTTATATGAGAGCTGAACCTGTCTGTTATCAACTTTTTTCTAGCACTTATTAAAAAAACTAATTTTTGTTTCAGAACTGCATTTTTTGCCAGAGTAGAAACGTTTTTAAACAAGTTACAGCATGTCGTTCAAACAAAATTCCCATCTGCCATCGTGAGGTTGTGGTGTGTGGTGGAGTATGACGGAGTGGCACAAACCACCAGCGGCTCAAGGAGGAGGCTGCTGGCTGATCAGTGAGTCTCACATTGTCTGTATTAATGTAAACATGCGAACTGGTAGTTTTGTACATCTGCATATCAACGATACCAATCCTCAAACACAAAGCTACAAAAAGAAGAAATTTATCCTTGGAAAATAATTAATAAAATGTTTAGTTAAAAGTTAGAATTAATTGTTTGTAGATTGGCTCTCTGAAGAATGTCATGCAACTTTAGCGTCTTATACAAGGCACTGATGTTTCAATATAAGAACTGCTATGTGTGGACATAAAATTGATTGCGTAATGTGCCTCACTGTGGCAGGGGCATTTTTTCTATTATTATTATATAGAAATTCTTTGTTTACATTCCAAGGAAAATTATATTTCTGAGATGGTTGTAGTAATGAAAGTTTTCCTTGTCTCTCTCCTAGGTCAGTTGATGTCCACTTGTATGCTCTCCGAGATAACACAACAGATTCAGCAGGAAACATCAACAAAGAGAAAGATTTTCTCAAACAAGATGAATTTCTAAGTGTAGTCAGTGCCAATCCTCAAGGGGACCCTGGCTCAAATATTCAAGGTAAATATAGTCTACATTTTTATTGTTTAATTTTAAACTGTCCACTTAAATTTTATTGATGTGATTTATATAATACATGAGAACCATTTTTGCTTACTTGTATTGTACGAGTGACTTGTAACCATAGTTAAAAGGTAATTTAAAAGGTGTAAAGGTAATTTAATAATCCTTATTTAGTTTATTAGTTAATTTAGTTTGAACAATTAGGATAAATCTAAAATCAATTTTTTTTTTAAATATTAGGTTATAAACTGAAATAAATGCAGCTATTTAAATCATTAATTTCTACACCTGTAACTGCAAGGTGATGAGTGGGACTACTTTGGCATTGTTAATGTGACACCCTACCATGAGGAGCCCAAAGGCTGGTTTGATACAGACTACGGCAAGGCCATCACAGCTGTAGCTATTTTACTTGGGCTTGTCTTGTTGGCTTTTTGGAGCTATTTTCTACTCATATGCTGCTCTGCATGTGTCAGGTCAGTGGACAAGGTAGAATGGTAGATGGTGCAGTTCATGAATGTATTGGACAATTGCACTCTATTTCATAAGTATTCTTACTGTTCTGTTGATTAATAAGACAAACAATTTTTTTCTAAATAAATCAATATATTTTAAGCTTTATTTATCCCAGTCCACCCCTCTTATGATTAGTAAATTCCTTATTTCTTGCTGACTGTGACAGAATGCAAAAAAATAATTGCTAAAAAATGATAATGTTTTATGGTAATCTGCTGTTAAAAATGTAGACTTAAAATTTTAAAAATGTGTAATCTTCAGGAGATGGAAGAAAAGAAAAAGTTTAGCTAAAAAGGAATCAGAGGAGAAAGAATTTAAAGAGAGACCCAAAAATGAGAAATTTTCTTTGTGGCATTCTGGTGAATCCGTGGCTGCAGTCTCAAATAGTGATGACAGTGAGATCCATAAGAAATCTGTTTTACCCTCATATGATGGTGCCAATGAAATGAATGATACTAGCAAAGAAAGAAATCCATCAAAGCTTACTCACAGTCAAACAGGTAGGAGCAGAGACTAAATGAAAGGGTAGAAAATAAGATTATCATGTGATTGATATCAAGGATTGTCTGGGTTTACCTTACGCTTCTTTTGTTGGGAAGAAACTTGGTAAGCAAAATCACCAGTGTTAAAAAATGTCTTTACACGACTAAAAAAATATTTGTATGGACCAAATTTTTCTTGTACTTGATATGAATTTATTATGGTATTTGGTATTTCACTGTTAATAATTCAATAATTAATTTTATTAGAAACTCAAATAAACCTGCTAAATTTTTTCGCTAAAAATGAAAAGTTTATAGACCAACTTTCTCTTAGCTTGAAATGAAGAGTTGAAATTTAAATTTGAGGAGTGGGGCATTTCTTTAAAAACTTTTAAGACTTTAGTTGGAATAAATATGAAAATCCTAAAATGCAGTCAAGTTAATGTGCATGGTTTTATTTCAGACCACGACCCAGCTTTTTCCAAAAGTCAACACAGCAGCCTCCTGGCCTATGACTTTAAAAAGGTTTGAATTTCAAATAATTACAATACCAGTACATCGAAAGTATTATTTTAAGTTAATGTATTTCAAGTGAAGAATATTTAGATTTACACAACAGTAAAATGATATTGAGGAGTTTAAGATGTCAGCTGTGTTTGAAAATGTTAACTATATCCATTTTTAAATACATGACCTAAGATAAAAATATCTTTGCCTTTATTGTCTAATATGAATGAATTGAAAATGACTGAAGTCTTACTCAACTGGAAGTTCATTGCATATATAAAACGCAATTGAATAGGATTTAACTGAAGCAACTGTTGGTAACATTTTGTAAAACAAAGTCACAAGCTTCCCCTAATGGGAACTCCAGTAAAATTTGACTAGTGAGGGATAAGCAAACATTTGCTTTTATTACTTAAGTGAATAGATAGATCTCATGTCATTGTTTACTGTATGAAAAGACATTGAAATATTTTTTTTTTAAAAAACCTTTTATGCCCCCACACAGCATTTTCTTTTTTAAAAGTCCACTCCAACATCTGCTAATAACTTTAAGAATTAGGTAATCAGAATGACTGACTTGAATGTGTTACAATTTTGTAACAGCCAGTAATAAACTTAAAGAAAGTTAAGTCTGAAACAGAATCAGATCTATCTTCCTGGAAGTGGACTATTCCAAGATTGATGGTTGTCAGGAAAAACAGTTCTGATTTATCTAATAGTGAAGACCAGTCCACAAGCTTTGAAGGAAAGGCCCATGACAGAGGTGAGTTCACATTTTTCACTTGTAAGAAAACTTTAGTGAACTCCATAATTTTTTTTATCTTTTTAAAAAAATTTTAAAAAAGCTAAATTTCTCTCTAACGTTACCAAAAAAAAAACAACAACATAAGACAAATAGAATGCTGCCATTATGGTTGAGTATTTATTTAAATGAAGTCAAACTTTGTTAAACGCATTTGAAATTCCGTTTATATACAAATCATTTCAACCCAGTTTCAGGCAAAGTGTATGAATACAACACAAAGACAAATCAACGTGAATGGGTCAACTGACTTTCTAAAGAAAAGGAAAGTAAAGTTTAAAAAGTTAAACTTTTAATTTGTGAATATTAAAAAAGAATAAAACTTTCAATTAAAACTTATTTTTAAAATGTCCAATTATTTTTTAATATGTAATCATTACATATTTGTAGTTTTATCTATGTTCAGAATACATGCACATAATGTAAATCCATTTAAAAATGTAAGACATTACATATTTATCTAATCTGTCTATTTAAACTTAATATTTAACATGTAACTTACAATAAGATAATATCTGAGGCACTAAATTCAAGCAGTGTGAAGTAAATAAATAGTGGAAAAAGATCTGTTTAGAAATAGAATAAACCACAGATTAATGTGCAATCCACTTTTTTGGTTTAGAATACCTTAACTTCCATTTTTAACATAGAGCCCTTTTGTTTCTAAACAAAGATCTACATTGAAATCTTCAAACACATACATTTTTTATTTCTAATTAATTGTGGTTTCTTGTTAAAGAAGATACCTAGCAGAAATGTCCATTTAATTGTCCTGTCTTTTCTTTTCAAGCCTTAACATATCTAGTTCCACTGTTTATCAACGTACAGTAGAGGAAAAAAAACAACTTTACAATAAATTGACCCACACTCACTTTTTATTGATAATATTTTCATGACTCATTGGACACAGTAACTTAGTGTGCCCATCTTTAACTGCAGTGAGGTTAATTTCAGCTTTCCTTATTTTAAAACTTTTCCTTGGTACACAAATTTGAAGTTATGTTTTGTATAAATACATTTTTTTTAGAACTGTCTACTTTTGTTATGTTATTTACTACATAATATGTAAAAGCTTTGTAACTTACATTTAAACTTTTCCTAATCAAACAAACAATGACATCTCTCTTTTTAAAGTAAATATGACAATTAAGAGTTATTTTCATATCTGTATCAATTTGAGTGGTTATGTTTGGCCCAAATGCAAAGTTAAAATCTGAGAATATTGCTACTATATTGCTAAATTGTTACTAAAGACCTGGAAACTAATGTAAATAACATCAAATCAGATATTTAGTGATAAACAATACATGTGTCAGAACTATATGGATGGTAAATATATTTTTTGCTCTGGAGTTGTCTACCCTGGATTTTTATGCTCTCCCATGTCTTAACTTTGTTTCATCTTGTCCATTATCCAGCGGTAGTAGTAAGCTATGTTAGTGTAGTAACCGTAGTGGTTCTCCCTATCACACCCAACACCCCATGATACAATGCCAGCCTGGATGGCCCGGCCACTGAATTCAAACACATATGGACCTCCACTGTTGATAAGAGAAGGAAAAAAAATTAAAAATCAAACTTGCATTGCCTACATTTGCTGATAATTACCAACCAAATATTTAGAGTGGTCTCCCTTATGAAGTTACACCTTTTAAAAAAATGCTATTTTACAGATTTCAGCAAGATCCTTTACACCCCCTCCCCCTTGACTGCAGTTCAACGAACCCACTTCCCCCCATCTCTGCAAACGTCCTTCATGAAAGACCCCTAAGATGTATTGTGCCATTTTGAAGTACTACTTTTGTATGTCCTATCAGTTTGATAAATAACTTTTTTTAATGTATATTCCCTTCCTTTTAAGCTGAAATATTTTTATTTTCCAATAAATATTGAAAAAAGAATGCATCATATGGAGTATGCTGATGGACTTTTTACATTTTAAATACATACCTTTTATACATAACAGCCAAAAATGGTCACCTCTCCAGCTAAATTATGCCCCTACCTGTCTCCTGCACATGCACCCCCGAAATGTATCCTGTCTTGCACCTTACCCTATCTACTATGCATCCTTGTCTGTCTCCTATACATCCCTCCTGTCTCCTATACAATTGATACATCCTTACCTGTCTCCTGCACAAGCATCCCCTCTCATGCTCCTGGCATAGCCAGCGCAGAACATTCCAGGTGTAAATGAAGTGTTGACAGATGAGGCCCGCTCTCGGCAGATGTCAGGTGATACATATGGAATCTTTTTTTTTTGGAGGGGGAAAAGATGTATCATTTCACTGAGAGATATAACGCTCTCCCTTCATTGTGAATAGTTTAGTAATATCTCACACAGAATTATTACTATTCACATCTTTATGTTTTTGATATGAAAGTTGTACTAATATGGTTTTGTTGGAATCTAGTACCTTCATATATAATCAACATGAGTTTCATGCATAAAACAAATAACTTTTTAATAAATTCACAAAAATTTGCTATTTATATTATATACAGAGTCTAGCCAAAAAATTAATTTATGGAGTCCAAACAATGGTGGATTTTAAAAATAGCCTCATCTGGTTCAAAAGAAGCATTTTGCTCTAAGGCCAAAGTAGATTAATGTCAACTTTTTAGTCTTACAAGTAGGAATTTTTGTGTATTAAAAGTTGAGTGCAAAGAGATATTACCTGGACTTCATGGAGGTTTGTTGGAGCTCCTCCGTAGACAAACTGATTTCCACAGCCTGTCACCACACCGAAACGACCTGGAATAGTTTATGTTAAATTTCTATACTTCACCGAAAATGGATTCATTCTAAAAGGGCTCCTTATTGCACATTTCTAATTTCCTCAATATTTTTTAATGAAACGTGTACAACTGGCCTGTTCTATTTTCTAGCATGGAAAAGTAAAAAATGTGTTTTTACTAGCATTAATTTTGAAGCTGAGGATAAAATAATAATTTTTTTTCAAACTCATAATACTTTTCAAGGCTGGACAATATTCCAAAGATTTAATGTCATTAAGTACCCGGTATTAATATTAATGAATAAAAAGAAAATTTACTTAAGAAAATTTAAAACTATCAAAAGATCAAAAAAAATTTCAATGATCATTAAAATAAATAATGATAAGAGTAAACAAATAAAATGTACATAATTAAATAATTTTTTTATTAAAATGAACTATCATTCATAGTGTCCAAGTTTGGTCATTAAGTTTATTAATGTAATATTTATGTAATTTGGGCAGGACTTTCATTGCTCTTCACTTATTTGTAGCTTTATTTGTATTTCTGCAAGTTCTGTATTTGACCTTGCGGCCAAAGGTCACACCGACCTGGCTTAAGTAGTTCCTCCATAAAGTCAGGTGTCTCCAGGCAGATGGGCATGATGTCATCTGTAAATTCTACAGGTTTCTCTAGTTTCAGGATGGCCACATCATTGTTGTAATGTGTGTTATTGAAGTGTTCATGGAGGGTGTACGACTTGAGTTGTCTGAAAGTGTCAACAAATTTTCTTAGTTTTTCATTCAAATTCCTTGAAAAATTACCACCCAAATGTCAATTTCAAAAATTCCTGTCAACATGTCCAACCTCCTTGGCAAATTTCCATGTTAGCTGCTGCAGTCTCTTATCCCTTATAGTAAAACTCACTTTTAAAATTCATTGTCTGAAAGATTAATTTAATTTTTTCATAAAATTTTGTTTTCTTCTTACTAAGCCATTTTAGTGACGTTCATATGGTAATTGGTATATTGAGTTTTCCTTTTGAATATCATTTTTTTCCCCGTTCACACTCTTGCTGACCCATGACCTTGCACATACCTTCATCAATTCTTATCTAACTCAGCTGTTTTCTTCCTCACCTGAAAACACCATTATGGCCGGCACAGTGGTGAGTTCCCAAGTAAATGTGAATGTGATTGGGATGAAATGGGTAGCCAAAGAATTGCTCAAATTGACCAATACAATGGGCTGCAGTCAGGACTGTGTCTGGAGAGATCAGAGAACCACCACAAAAGGTTGTGTCCTAGGATGAAACAGTTTATTCATAAACACATCTAGACGCCACTCATGTTCTTCTTGCCATGCAGTTTTTTTTAAATGTGGGTTCATTAAATATCGATACAGAAAACTGACGTTAAGAGTTAATGCTAAATTGATATAAAAAACGGAAAACATTTTCTGAAGTTCTAATGACAAGACTAACCTTCTTTTCTTCTCTAATTATGACATGCCAAGGAGCCGAGCCTACAACCGCTTCTTTACCACTGCTTATTCTTCCACTTCCTCCATCATAAGGTTTAACACGAGGCCGCCCGCACTCTGATCACCATGAAATAACTTATATAATTACACTAAAACTATTAAAACTATTTTTCTGTAGAACATATACTGGCTGAACCCATACAAAAGTAATGTTTGTAAATTTATCAAACATCACAGATCAGCCACTTCCCCCACTCACAGACTTTACAAAAATAGGTTATGAGAAAAACTTCAAAATAACATCAATAGATGCTCCCACCATTCAATGTTCATAACTCATGAGCAGAAAACAGTTTTACCCTGTTCATGTCCAGTTGCTTCCACATTGAGGTAAGCAGAAACCTTGGAGTAGCATCCTTCCCTGGATCGGGCAGCACATGTGTACTGACCTACATCTGTCTCCACAACAGGGTTGATCACCAGGTAGTGATTCACCAAAATCTGACCACCAAAAGATTTTATCAATTTTACATTTTATTATTTTTTTAAACACTGTCCAAAGAAAAAAATGTTCAAAGTTAAGTATGGATCAAATAACAATCAAACTTTTTGTGCATCAAATATTTTAACATATAAAAAGCATTCCAGGATGGGCCTTACAAGCTGTTTGATGAAGTGAGCTACTCCATTGTCTCGCGAACATGGAATGATGCCACATATAGTAGTTGGCTTGTTACTAGTTCAATGAACTATTTTAATAACAACAAAAAATTAGTAGCTGGTATGTTAATAGGTCTGGTAAAAATTTGCTTTTTATTGAAGATGTAAGCGCACAAAAGCCTTTCAAAGTGATATCATGCCCGGATGTGATTCTTCACCAAAGCTATACATAGAACATAAAGATGTTTCTACTTATTGAAGGATCTTTTGTTGTCATCAGGAATGGACAAGTAAAAATGTTAATTATAAAAAAATAACATCATTTTACTTACACGTTTTCTTGGTCCCTGTTCAATGAGGTCACCATCTTTTCTCCACATGATGACATCAGCATCTGGCACATAGCAGTGGAACATGGCAGTCTGGCCCACTCGAAGGGTGATGTTACTTGGAGACTTTAATACAACTGCAAACAAGACAGGTTCAATGGAAGTCATTGGCACACTCTTCCCATTTCATTATCTATAAAACTATCTCCCATTTCATTATCTATAAAACAATCTCTCTGACATTTAAAAACATTTCACACAGATTTCTCTATATAACTTATTGTAAAAAAACTATTACACTAGCTATAGAAATATTTTACCTATTTTTAAAGAATTTTCCCATTTATGAACTATTTCACTACTCATGAAATAATTTACTTTAAAATGTTAAAAAATGAACATTGACTTCGGCACAATTTACAGAGCTTAAATAGACACATTTTAACAGGGCTCACTTAGCCTAAGACACACCAAATCACGACAGGACTCACTCACATAGACTGCAGGGCTCTATAAGTGTGATCCACATTGACTTCTCCACCAGGTCACCTGATGTTGTGGCCATGCAGGTGTAACGTCCTGAGTGTTGATCCTCAACTTCAGGTATAACAACAACACCACCAGGATGAACCTCCACACCTCTTGACCAGTCGGTGTGGGTCATGATTCGGTCATTGAATAACCTGTCAGCATGTGTTGGGAAGTTATAAAATGCAACTAAATGAAAAAATTAAGCTTTATTAATAGAAACTTTTTTAAAAATAAAAATTATTTTTAAATTGGTGATTTATTAGAGATTGTTAGTGGTAAATCAATTTATTTTATGGTTACTAATAAGTTACTATTTGACACATCATGAAATACAAAAAATGCAACAGAAGTATACAAAGGAATATAACCTGTTGGTAATACAATTGTTACAATTTGAATAAAGATATTTCTTTGTATCAGTGAGTGTGACTATTATGAGCAGACAATTTTTTCAGCTGAAAAAGGTGACTTCATATTTAGTCTGACATTTGATGACATACCACATGACATGAGCTAAGGGATCGTTCACCGCACATTCCAGAATGACACTGCTGCCAACAGTTAGTGACATGTTAGACACCATCTTGGTAAAGTAGAGAGCTCCTCCCTCTGCAAACTTGTGTGGGCAGGGAAAAAAAAAGTGAAATTTTACAATCTTTATGCATTGGTAAAAATTAATGAGACATAAAGAATTTATGTACATAAAAACTATTTTAAATAGATGCAATTTCCTTTTCCTGTTAGGTTTTTATATTGTACTTCCACCCACTTTCTTTCTGTTCTTTTAATCTTTGTTTTCTATGGCACTTGCGCCCATTCTTATCTTTTCTCTCATTGTTCAAGTATAGGTTGGACAAATATATATTATCTAAATTTAATTAATAATTATATTAATTTTTATTGTAATGATGAAGGCATTAGCTGAAACTTTTGAATTTGTACTTTGTCTCATCAAAATTAAAGCTCAACATATATTGTTTTATTCACACAAATTGTTTGTCATTTATTAATCTACTTAAAAGCTCTTTCGCAGTCCAACCCTCTCATTAGGATTAAAACAATAATTCTGTACTGATAAAATAATCTTCATGTACCAATAAGCCAAGCTTTATGTACTAAATAAAACAATTTTCTTGTATGTATTAGCTGGTGAAGTTGATTTAAAATCTAGAATAAGAAATAACCATAAAAAAGTTTACAAAGATACCTTCTCAAGCTCTTCACAGAAGTCGCCAGTAAAGCCGTTGGGACACTTGCATGACACCTCTGTCCCATCATCCTGGCAGACTCCATCATTCTCACATTTCACATCTTTACATGAAATCCTCATCTCACCCTCACAGAATGTCCCTGTGAACCTCTCAGGACAGGCACACCTGGTGCCACAAGAAAAATGTATCGAAATGAGTTTAAAGTAGTTATATTACTTTGTTGATAGGATAAAAAAATGCCCCTAACTTTGTTTATAAAATAGTCATTTTTATAATCTATAATTAAAAAATACACAAAAAAAGTGTTTTTTTTAGTTTGAATCCTCAATGGGCAACAGAGTATATAATTATATTCCTTGTTTTATATTTATTTCTCACACAAAATATTGACACAATCCCTTCACACAATCTTTAAAAATAATCCACTGACACAATGAACTGACACAATCACTTACATCCAGTCCACAGATCCATCCACCAGCAGTATTTCTGTACATGTCCCACCATTTTCACACTCAGCTGGGCATGCTTTTCCTTTTAATGTAAAAAATAAATTACAACAAATTTATGCTGAAGGGATCAATCTTTCAATAATTGTCATTAAATTCACAAATGCAACCCAAATGTCTCGAGCGCTTAAAAGAAAAAAATATCTATTTACCATGTACGACCGGAGACATGTGGACTTCTGCCCAGTAACCACCAAGGTTTACCGTTGAATCAGAGTAGAAAACAAGGTCAAGGCCATGTCCCTCCCAAGTAAATATTGGATTCTCCAGATCAGTGCCACAAAGATGCTGCAGCAGAGATGGTTTCAATGTAGACATTGTATCACCAGCTGTGTTTGATGAAAAATTATATTCCATATTCATTTTGACACAATACAAAAAAGCATGAACTACTTAAATACAAATCTTTTGTTCATCTTTAGTTCATCAGTACCAGTTCACTTGGTATCAGTTTGCTGTTTCAAGAAAGTTATCAAGGTAAAATCTGACGGGGAAATAAAAAATTTTTAAATGTAAAATTCATATGTTGAATCTCATAGTGAACTTCCTTTTGGTACAAAAAGAAAAAAATAATTAACAAAAACTTGTGTGGGGGGGTGAGTTGGTAGGGGAGTGTACCTTCATAAATGCTGAGAGAGTCATAGGTACAGTTGTCTCCCTCTTCTATACTAAAGTTATGGAACTTGATGAGGAAAGTGCTGACACTGGAACTCCTGAACTGGGTGACACAGAGCATGTTATGTGGATAGCTGGACGGATATCCTGGGGAACTGATGTTGGATGAGGATTCTGTTACTGTTATGTTACAACCTGGAAACATGCAAGTAGAGATTCTTTTGTTTATTTTTTTTTTAAATGTTCCAAGTAAGATTTAGGAGAACATTTTATTAGAATGAGTGATAGCTGTCCAAAAATAAAATTTGATTATTTTACTTTTTTCATTTTAAGAACTTATTATAATTATTTTCCTTAATTGTTTTTTACATGATAGTAACATTTTCATTATGACAAAAATGAACACTGAATTTCAGTGACGTACCTTTGTTCCCTACAGTCCCCGCCACTGGTGTAGTCTCTATACCTACAGACGTTTGACTGCTGACAGTTAAGGGCAGTCTTGTAGTTGGTACTGATGTAACTGTTGGTGATGAGAGTGACGATACTGAGACAGGAGATGAATCATCATCCCCTGATGACAGAAACGTTACGGTGGCGTTGAAGCCCTTGGTTTGAACATTTTTGTCTGACACAAATTTGAGGGTCAGGATATTTGTTTCAGAGGTCAGACCCACCGGCAGGCTGCGCCCACAGAACACCCCCAGGAGGTTCTCTGGAACTGTGGGTAGGGAGAAAATAATTATTTACATCAAGGGCCATTAACAGTTAATGTGTAAAATACATATTAATTATGCTCAATCTTTAACACACATAGAACTTGAATTGGGGGCTAAGGAGAGAGAAACAATTCTTGAGTAACAATTCTTGAGTACAAGTACAAGGTGACAACAAATGCATTTTTAAATGGGGAAATAAACATCACTCATGATGGAGATGAGTGTGTAAGAGTGTAGAAAAAACTTTTCACCACCCTATAAAATAATCTGTCTTCCTTGTTATTTTACCTTTTTTGTTACCCGTTATTTTACCGGTTATGTTACCTGTTTTGTTACTGATTATGTTACCGGTTATGTTCCCAGCTGTGTTACCAGCTGTCATACATGTCTTACCTGTTATGTTGCTATTGTACACTTCAAGTTTATCGAAATCGCAAGGAGCTGTCTCCACTTGAAAATCTGTGAATTCAATCAGGATCTTCTGATTGGCTGATGCCTAAGGGTAACAATAAACAGTTATTTGTGCACTTGACAAAACTAATTAATTTTTGACAACGTTCAATCAAATAAAAACTATTAATAAATATATAAAGCTGTACACAGCAGCAAATAGTATTATAAATTAGATTCTATTAAAATGATATCCCAACCCCAAATTTTTTTTTAAAAGATAAAAATTGTTGAAAACAATATTAAATACAAATTAACAATTAACCCCACACCCAAATGGTAGGCTACATTTGTGTAGCCTGCCAGGTGTTGAGAACCACTGTTATAGGCCTACATGTCAAATGTAACAGCAAGTTATCCCACAATGCTACAGCATAAAACAGACAAACCCGTATGGTGTAGTAGCAGATACTGGACGAAGGGTACTGAGCTGGGTAATCTGGTGACGTCACAGTTCCTTCTGTTAGCAAGGTGACATTGCAGCCAGGGTCAAGCAAAGTTTTCGGACCTATGGCTTCTGTGGGTAGAATTAGTTCTAACAGATGTAGTAAAGTTCAAAAGTCATGGTTCCCATTTTTTAAACAAAATTCAACGTAAATATATTCCATGGAAATACAAAAAAAATTTTATTATTATAGAAGTAAATTACACAAAATTGTATTAAATGATTTACCATAGACTAGTCTAAATCCAGCATCTGATCCACTGAAGTCAGAGTGGAATTGTATGATGACAACATTTGAGCTCGCTATGAAGTCCAGCTGCTCACTGCCACAGTAGCGAGCCCTTCCATATTCACCATTGGGTCCATCAGTAATGGTCAGGTGATCCCAACTGCAGATAAAAGTAGCCGGTACTGTAAGACAAGCTTAAACATAATCAAACAACAAACATCAACAAACATCATCACATCCCCCAAAAATGTGCATTCCTCATTTTTGAACTTTAAAAAAAATTGAACTTAAGCTGTATCAATAGAATCAAATTATGATCATGTCTTTATTTCGTGTTTTTTTTTTTTTATATTTAATTTTGACAGAACCTTCCTCCCAACACGAAGACACCAGCTTTATTTCAGTATATCATCTCATGGTAGCACGACAGATCAGTGGCATTATGGGAGCAAACGTGATCAGAGATCATCAGTAGCCTAAATGATGGCAACGCGAGGGATTTCAGTGTTGATTTCCGGTAATTTGATCGGGGTGGGGGTTTGGCGGGAGGCATTTTAATCATTTAGGGGCCGTGCATCGATCAGCGCCAAAGTTAGGCATAATCACCAAACCCCCCCCCCCACCTTTGCTTAAACTGAATGCATCCCGTTTGTGGAACCCCTGTAGACATCAGCTTAGTTTCTCCCCTGGACTCTGGGCTATATAGTACGGCTATATTTACTATATTGAGGAAAAATATATTTTTTTCTGATAAAAAGCTGTCACTTTGGTGGGGGAGGGGGGCATAAATTGCATTTAAAAAGCTATATCTTTGGTCGGGGGAGGGGGGCATAAATTACATTTAAAAATCTATATATTTGATGAGGAGGGGTGCATAAATTACAGTTAAAAATCTATATATTTTTGATAAAAAGCTGTCACTTTGGTGGGGGAGGGGGGCATAAATTGCATTTAAAAAGCTATATCTTTGGTCGGGGGAGGGGGGCATAAATTACATTTAAAAATCTATATCTTTGATGAGGAGGGGGGCATAAATTACATTTAAAAATCTATATCTTTGGTCGGGGGAGGGGGGCATAAATTACATTTAAAAATCTATATCTTTGGTCGGGGGAGGGGGGCATAAATTACATTTAAAAATCTATATATTTTTTAAAGTTTCTTTGACCCGCTGATGTAATTTAAAATTGTAGTGAACCTCTTGACTTTGTAGGCCTATAGCTTATGCGACCACAAATGACATCCGAATAGTATTGAGTCTAATGGTACCCGGGTGCGAATGGCGGCGCTGCGTGTCTGGGTCCATTTTGACTCAATGCTATGCGGATGTCATTTGTGGTAGTTTATTTTAGTTAAACTGAAGAAGTAAGTTTACAAACATATAGTCCATTCAATTATCTTTCATTTGACACCTCATTTTGTCTTATTAACCCAACAATAAAATTTTAAATAGTTTTTTTAATCCCGACCTCTCACTTCTGGTACCCGGGTACGAATAGTCGCAGCCGCAATTGAAAGCTCATACTCATTCATGTAGTGCGCACCAAGCACACAGGTGTCTATCAACATGTGAATTCTGATTGTTATCTCACATGCGCCATGAGTGGCGATGACGTGGGGTGGGGGCGTACAGAATCACAAGGCTCGTGATTGTGGAGCAATCTAGTCACTATACAAATGCGATCAATTCAAACACTTCCGGTAGAAGAAGATGACTTTTCTTTTATTTATTGACTTTCACCAACTTCGTTGAGGCTCATCTAGGATAAACGTGACGTCAGAACTTAAAAATTTGAATCTAAACAACGGATGCTCCTATAAACAAACTATCGTTAATTAAGTTGAGATAAAAATAACTCAACCTAGTAAATACCGGGGGACACTTTTCAGTTTAAAATAAGGGACAGTGGTAGAATGAATTCAATATTTTATATATTTTTAACCACTCATCACTTTCAACTCTAATCACTGGAAACTCCCACTATTGACATCCCTCAGAACGTAAGGCAGAGGTTCTCGACAGGGGCGTCATTTCAGGTTGTTTCAGGGGTGGGGTGGGGCGGGGGCAAAAACCAAAACTTGGTCGGCCTGTTAAATTATTTATTACTGGAGGCGCCCCAGTACATAGCAATTTCAAGGGGGGGGGCAAATGCCCCATCCTGCCCCACTCAAATGACATCCCTGGTTTTCAGACTTTTTTTTTATTCACGGCCACTATGCAGCATCCAGGTTTACCCAAGGCGCCCTGTGTCAAACTCTAACAAGTGTACCGAGAAATGGCACGTTTTTAACTATTTATTTATCACTTCGTGGCACACCTGTGAGGTAGCTACAACTCCTCAGGGTGCAGCTGCGCATAATTTTGGGAACCTCTGACTTTAGAGATCAATACCTACACAAAATCAAAACTGCTACACTCCGTTTACTGTACAGCAGAAGTCAGCACAGCCAGACTTTCTACACGGGCAAACTTTGAACGTAGAGCTAAGCAGCTTTTTACACATTTTCTGTTATCTATAAACGACTTTCCAAACACGAACACGCTCATACTCACGCACACGCGAACGCACCCACATATAAACGAGTGCATGCACACACATACACCCCATATATAGTATGCCTGATTCATTCTGCGCTTCCCCGCCCCCAATATTATTTTTTAAAGACATTAATTAGTCCAAACGCCAACCTGTCAAGTCAGAGTATAAAATTAGAAACAGACTGTTGTTCAGAAGATAGTCTCCCAAAGTGTTTCCTTGTGACGTTTTTCCAAGGCTAATATATTCCGTTTTTCTCACTCCTCCGTGCTTCTATTATGACTAAGCAACTTAGAGGACGTCCATTGATTACGTCAAGAATTTTTAAGCAATTTTTTACCCCCCTCCCCCCTTATCAACAACAACTGTCAAACTTTCAATGACACCCCCCCCCCCAGTAATTATGTCAACATATAATATATCAAAACGATGTGTGCTAAATTAACTGACATTTATCTTAAAGAGTAAAAAATTTTAAACAATTTTTTACCCCCCCCCCCCCCTATCAACAACAACTGTCAAACTTTCAATGACACCCCCCCCCCCAGTAATTATGTCAACATATAATATATCAAAACGATGTGTGCTAAATTAACTGACATTTATCTTAAAGAGTTTGTAAAAATGACCTAATCTAACAGAGTTTGTACAAATGACCTTATCTGACAGAGTTTGTACAAATGACCTTATCGAAAGAGTTTGTGAAAGTGACCTTATCTGCCAGAGTTTGTACAAATGACCTTATCTTTCAGAGTTGGTACAAATGCAGTGTTGTGCGTCTGCCCCCCTCCCCCAAACTTTTTCACGTTCACATTGTGACGTCACGTCCTTGAAAGGCCAAGATGTTAATTGGTTAATGGGCAGCCAACTAAGTGTCATGCATAAGATGGCGGTGTCGTTTGTTTGATATTCTCGTGTCAAGGTTCCTATGTTAAACAACAACATACAAGTACAGTTACGGGGTGGTGACTTCATCGCTACCTCCTCCACTCTGCACTCCTCCCACATTCCGTCCTACGGCCTCTCCTTCATCCCTCCATCAATTTAAACATTTCGCTATTCACGGAGAGCGCTTCCAAACTGTGTATCGCGACACGTTAGTGTGTCGGCTGCAGTGTGAAAGAGTGTCGCCCAAACTTAACATTAGTCCCGGTGAGTGCATATTAAACAAGCAATGTCAACTTTTAGTGTTGCCAGATGACATCTATTAGAGTTGCCAGATAACAACTTTTAGAGTTGCCAGTTGAAATCTTGTAGAGTTGCCAGATAACATGTTGTAAAGTTGCCAGATAACAACTAGTAGATTTACCAGATAAAATCTTGTAGAGTTTCCAGATAACATCTAATTGGGTTGCCAGATAACATCTTGTAGAGTTGCAAGAAACCAGCTTTCGTGCAATAAAAAATATTTGCTTCCTATTGCATATACTAAGAAATGATCATAGGGAAATCTTGGGAAAAAATTGTATCCATTTTTTTTCTCATAAATGACGTGTTTAAAAATGAGTTATGTTTTTCCTTTTCACCATGCATATCGTTTTGTAACACATGTTAATGTATCGTGGACAGTTTATGTCTAAAAAGTGTGGCAACGACAAGGACAATCAAGAAACAATGGTTTATTAAATTCCACAGAAATGTTATCCAATCAGATTACTTTAGTATTACTTGACAGACTTACAGGCAGTCCGGTTGACTCTCGATAGAGAGATAGTCTGATGTGACATGGACACGGTGACCAGGCCTTGCTGTGATGGTCCATGTACAGTCCAGCTCAGGGGGGTAAGAGTCGGGGAACAGGGGCGAGTCTATAGTACCCTCACCAGCTTTCAGATTCTCGCCACATACTGCAAGGTAGATACGTTGAGGTGATGACAGTAAGATGATGGAAGTAAGGTGAAGATAATTACAGTAAGGTGATGATAGCAAGGTAATGACAGTAAGATGATGATAGCAAGGTAATGACAGTAAGGTGATGATAGCAAGGTAATGACAGTAAGGTGATGATGGTAAGATGATGACACGGTGGTGATGACACGAGAATTAAAGAGATGTGATAACAGTAAGGTCATGATGGCAATGTGATGGCAGTAAAGTGATAACAGTAAGGTCATGATGGCAATGTGATGGCAGTAAGGTCAGTTCAGTAAGGTTAGTACAGTAAGGTTATGATTGTAAGGTGATAATGGTAGGGAAATGCAGTAAGGAGATGATGTTAAAGTAAGTACATTAAGTTGACGATGGTAAGGGAAATACATTAATGTGATGATTGAACGGTACTTATGGTAAGGGATGATGGTAAGGCAATGTTGGTATGGTGATTTGAATACTTATATAGTGCGTGTCTCCATGCATATTGTAGTATGCTCACAGCGATGGTGATGATGTTAAGGTGAGAACAGTAAGGTGGCAGTGGTAAGGTGACGACGGTAAAGTGATGGCAGTAAATGATGATGGTAAGGTGTTTTGATGTCCGTGTTCTGGTTTGGTAAGCGACTGGTTTTTAAAGAAAAAATATTATTGCTTTGATGTGGTGTGTTATTCTTTTGACGTGAAGTTATGATTTAAATGATTATAGCTTTAATGAAGGACCAAGTCACTGGAGTCCTTTAAAACCGATTTAAAGACACATCTATTTCGCAAACACCTTCTTGGATGATGTTGTCTACCACATTTTCCAGTTAATGCATATTGGCTGTGTTGCTTATGGTTGAAATGGCTAGAAAGACTTTGACTTGGTATGCTTGTAATTAGTTTTTGTAGTGTTGATTTTGTTATAATTGTGGTAAATTATAGATGTGGTTGACTTTGTACCACGCTTCGAGCCTTTGGGGATGAAGCGTGTCTTTCAAATAAACTTTATTATTATTAAATAAAGGCGTTTATGTGTTATCTCCCCGGTGCCAGAGTAGACGTTGTAAGTCTTACAAGGTCGTGTTACACAGGTTCAATGGAATAAAACTAGTCCTAAAAATTTTCCATAAACGCAGAGTAATTTACCTGAATGCCATACGGTCGTCCCAAACAAAGCATGCTTGGTCGTTTTAGACAGGCATCACACATAAACAGATCTCACCTACTTCCGGGAAGCTGTCGGTGTAAAATCCAGAGGTGATTCTCATCCAAAAACTGGCAGCCAACAACCAAAATGGAGCCGTTAACATTTTCTTCAGCATTTAGCTATTCCACTTGTTTTACTAAACTTTGCATGGTTTCTATGGTAACTGTAAACCTTCTGTTTTCACATCCGGTTTCTCATACAATGGAGGAACGCCAGTCTCATCGGCAGACCTTTGATTTGATTACAGCCAACGTCAACCACCTTGCGAGGAGTGAGAGTTTACAAGCACACAGGCAATGTCTACAAGTTGATGCTACACGAATCCACTGCAGAACAGTTCAATGCGTGGGACAAACACAGAGCGGGTTTCTCGATGAATAGTTCACAGCGCTTCTAAAAATGCCGACGTTGTGCCCCTTTGTATTTTGCGGGGACACGGGGCGCCTTTGAGACAAAAACTGACAGTGGGGGGAGGGGGGAAAATCAAGCAGATACATTAAATGGGCTATAAGAACATGATTTTGAAATTCTTGTTAACAAATTTGCAGGTTCATACATACTTACATTGGTCGGTAGGGATCGGAGTAGCCTACTGTTTGTGAACAGACCTTTACGGTGAACGAACAAAGTCTGACATCAACAAGCTGGCACTGACAGGAGTACTGTTTGAGAACAGACCGTAACAGTGACATGAAATTGAAATTTTCGACCAACAAGCTGACAGTGATGGAAGTACTCTTTGAGAACGGGCCGTTACAGTGTAGTTTACTGTGACAGAAAAAAATCTTACTCCAACAAGCTGAAAGCCACTCACGCCCCTCCCCCCCCCCCATACACTTTATTCCTCGCAGTTCTAACAAGTGATACTTATGAGGACGCAATCTTGATACTTGAGCTGCGCCAAGGGAGCTTTGATTGTTTAAAGATAAGTGGCACTTACACAAACCGACTCGTTACTTACGTGGACAAGGTTTTAACAAAAAAATGAAACGTTTATTATGCTGCAGGGATCACGTGATAAAACTTGATGTCCAAACTGTGTCTCGATGAAAGATGCCCGGTGCTAATTTCCCTTGTTGAGTGTGACTGTGTGCTGGGTAATCTCCCTTGTTGAGTGTGACTGTGTGCTGGCTACCGAAACAATGTCTGTACATTAGTGTTTTAGTCCTTTCCTTAGTCACCGATAGCTTAGGACGGGGGGGGGGGGGGGGGG